GGTGTACCTAATAAAGTGGCCGGTGAGTGTATTTGTATATATTCCATCCCATAAATTCCATCTTTCATGCACGTTCTACACAGTGTGGTACTTCTTGAAGCACTCCACATGTTGTGGCACATCACACGCAAATGATGTGCATCTGCCACAGTTTCCTGAGTCCTGCAGAGTCCTGCAGCATGGCCAGGACCTCTGCTACAGTGTAGGACCTGGGAAAAAACCACATACATGATTGATTTTTTTTTTTATTTGGACCTATCATTTTATGAAAAACGCTTACATAAATAACATGCCAGAGCTGAAATGGGATTTTATTTGTGGCCTGGTATTCCCTATGTTGTGGGACAGTTTTTTGGCATACACACGTACTTGTGGGGACCTAACGTTACATATGTGGCTCTGACTGGTATGGGGACCTGAATCTTGTCCCCATAAGGGGAAACACCACTGCTGGGTCGGGGTTAAGTTTACGGCTAAGGTATGAATTGAGTTTAGGTTAGTTTTAGGGTCAGGTAGGTACCTGTGAGGTTAGCCTTAGGGTTGGCAGTCAGGGTTAGGCAGTAGAAAATAATGGAAGTCAATGCCAGGTCCCCATAAAAATAGCTGTATCAGATTGTGTGGTATTTTTTACAAGCTATACACACAGGCCTTGAACACCTATGTATTTATTTAGCTAGGAAGAGTATCATAAGAATGCTAAAATAAGACATTGTACATCATTCTGCAATTTGAAATAAGTAAATGAGACACAATCCTGCAGACAATGTTTTCCTTTAGTTAGTGACAAGCTATTTGCCCTTTGGCAACTTTTGTTGCCGCTTACAGAAATAAGCCCATTGACAAAAAATATTTATTCTAGGTACAATTTTGGGGGGTAGGGTAGAGACTTGAAAGATTAAATAATTATAAATATGTCTGGGGGGAAATCATAAGAAATTTTATGAAATTGACCTCTTTCCAGGATGATTTGCATCTTCCATGTCTTCAGCCGGAACGAGCAGGAAGCAGATGATGTTATGCGAGAGGAAGCACTTGGAAACATTTTTTTCAAAATCCAAACCTTTGTCTAAGTTGTCTACTAGTGTATAAGTGGAAAATGTTGCAATAATAGCTTTGAGATTTTTTTACTTAGTCGAAAATGACAGTGATACACTTTGCCAACAATTGTTGCCAGTGGGGCAAAATGGGTTCGCTCTGCGCGACATGGAGGGTGGGAGGAAGGAAATGATCCTGACGTAACTTTTCTACAGCGGGAGGGGGAAATTTTGAGGATTTATTCTCTTTACGTGTTTTAAAACGCTATAATTTCTTCGTTTATTTCGAACTCCTCCTGCTCAGTTGTCTCTGCACTCGCAGCCCTGTTCACACAGGTGCGATGACGAAACTGATGACAGGACGGTAGTCTCGATTTCTACCGTAGGCCAACTTCATACCGTTTCTACCGTCTACCGCTTATATCGCGCAGCCCTACATCACACACTGACATCACACACACAGACATGACACCTGACTCCTGTCCGGCAAGTTTAATTAACAAACCAAAGAGTTAACAGTCATGTATGACAGAGATTCACCAGGAGAAAATGTTGGATAAGGAAGTGTTAATTATTATTGCGGAGGATTATAGGGGTGATCATACTGTGACAACATGAGGTATTTTCCAGAAGCAGTAGGTATACAACATTTCTTAATGTTGGTTTTGGTTCTCCGTTTTCTAAAGAGTTTGACTTTTTCTTGGAATATATTTTGACTTTTTTTAAGTATTATTTTGACTTTATTCAACATTACAACTACAATTTCAAAACTTGAAAGTCAAAAATACTTTTTTGTTTGTTTTTTGTTTCTCTGAGTGACACCAATACTCTATCATAGTTTTGTCAGCATCATATTTGTAAGACAAAAAAACAAAAATACTTTTTTCCTAAATGTGGAAAAACTCTGGAAGAAAAATGTTGTCATCATTAAACACAATTAGTTTTTCTGCTCCTCAGTGTCCAGTCTTTGAATCTCCTCCTCTTCATCGACATCATTCCTTTACTGGGTGCCGTTAATCTGCTCGTTTCTACATCATTGCTACTAGAGCTGGGCGGTATGACCCAAATTTTATATCAAGGTATTTTCTACAATTACACCGGTTTCACGGTATTTGACGGTATTTTTTCCTCACAGCTCAGCTGATAATAAAATGTACATGCTTACTGACTTTTTCTTTTACTGTACCTCTGTATCATTGTTTCCCTCCTTGTACGTCTTTTCTTCTTTGCCTGGTTGTAGACAGTAACCATGCATTTAGGTCCGATCGTGAAGGGTTGAGGAAAAAAATCATTGTCTGGTCTATCGTTGCGTGTTAATAAAATTTAAAACGACAACTCACCTTGCACACCAGTCAACTTCGCCACACTAAAAAACTACTTCCCCCCTGAATTTTCACAATAGAAGTACGATAGAGTTTCCATGCAATAATGTCTCCATTATAACGTAGTGCATTAAATCTAACCGTGCACGACACTGAAGAGTTGTTTACTACATTCAACGATGGTGAAAACGGGATTTTTTTTTATGTCAGACCATATAAGCGGCTGAAACACACCACCCGCCGCCTGTTGTTCCAACAATAATGTTAGCATGCTAATGCGCTTAGCGGTGCTGCAAGGAAACGTGTCCCCAGGGAAACAGTTCACTGGTGGCCGCGACGAAACGTTCCGCACGTGTTCAGGCTATTTACACCGGTATTCAGAAAAGTCATATCATAACAAAAATAAAAACCGGTTTTCGGTACAAAACGGTATACCGCCCAGCACTAATTGCTACACTAAACTTCTATATTAGTCTGTCAAAAATACAGAACCAGGGTATAATCAGATTCATTTGGTTTGTCTTAAAGAGGGGAAGAGTGTTATGTATTTTCCAGGCACATTTAATTCTACAACACAATCAAGTAACCATTTTACCTTCTGTTGTTATGAAAAAAATTATTTTACTTAGCATAATAGCCTAATCTAATGCCTTGAAGTTGGCTTCTGTCTCTTTAAGAACCTCCTATCATGTCAAACACTCCCACTTCAACACGTCTTCACAACAAGGCTTCATGCTGTTTAGAACTGTTGAAGAGGAAAGTCTCCTTGGCATCCATAATTACATTCCCTCAATGAAGGCACTTTATAATCCAAAAAGGTCTGGACTGAGAAAAAATAACAGATGTGAAGGGGGTTAGGCGCAGTGGGAGGGGTGCTTTGTGGGGCGGGATCTCGGCTGCAGACTGAGCTCCAGGGAGGAGCTTTGTGTAGATAGGCGGAGCTTTGTACCAGCAAGCATTTAAGCAGCTCTACATGGCTCCACAGGAAATTCAAGGATTTCTCCAACATGCATGAATGAGTCAAAGCAACACTCTGAGTATGTTTTTGATAAGAGGATGACTTTATAACATGATATAATGCTCAAAAAAGTTGACATATTTTATAATAACTCCCATTTACAAATGAGTAGAGAGCTCAAAACAGCAGCTTTTTTAAAGTGCAGGTTGAGCCAAAGAAAATGATCCCAGTGAAGTTTTTAGTTTCGTGTGTCATTTGCTTTTCCACATAATTCAGATTCTTCTGACTGATCCAATAAATTTCTAATATTGTTTTATAAAAAACTGCAGTTGCACAGTTCTACAACTGCTTCATTTTGTTTTTTCATACTGAAAAACTAAACATAGCTGGTGAAAATGTAAAAAAAACAAAGTTTTCTTCAGAGTTCTAACAGCACAATTAAACAATAAATTGTTTTTCATTAAAGAGCTTTTCAAAATGATGTGACTTACAGCAGAGCAGCTCAGTGGTTAAATCTGAAAACGCTGCTGGCACAATGAATAAGGAGAAAAGGGACATCCCTTTGTGTAATGTTTAACATCACTGTGACGCTTGGGGATTGCCCTTTTTAATTAATTATACTACTGGAATTCCCAAACCAGACCAATAAAATCAGAGTGTTCAAATCTGTGCTCTTGTAAACTAAACCAGTGACGTCTGCTCAGGCTTACCTTGGTGGCGGTGAAGGCGATGATGTGCTGAACATCCCTCCAGCTGAGGCAGGGCCTGACCTGCAGCATCAGAGCCACCATTCCTGCAGCCAGGGGGGCAGCAGCAGAGGTGCCAGTGTGGCCCTCGGTACAGCCCGTGCCCTTCCGCATGGACCAGTCCGAGGTCACCTGCAGAGCCAAAAGATGGGTTAACAGATAAGGCTCAGACACATTAGAGAACTCAAACAACGCTGATGTACTGACAACTGTTTGAACAGTTTCAGTGTAAGGTTGTGTGTAAGTACACACTAACACTGGAACACATGCATGACCCTCAGAGGTTAGAGAGGTTAGCTCTGTTTGTTTGGTGTTAACAGTCAGTGGGAGTGTGTGACAGCGGGCTCGGGCCTTATGGAGGTTGAGAACAAACAAAAACGTGAATGCAGTTGTAGCTACAAAAATAAGAGTTGTTCAGGTAAAATAAGGCTGAAAGGATAGATATATTGTCCATGATGCTCTCCATCATGGACAACCTGTCCCATTCCCTTCATGACACCCTATAAAAACAGTAACACTCTTTTTTTCCTCAATAGACTCACTTAGCTCCACTGCCACAGAGACAACTGATGGAAATCTTTCCTGACATTTGCAATTTTACTCCACGAGCAGCTCACTTCTGTCGAAAAGATGAACACCAGTAAATTTATACCTGCAAATAACAACTGTTAAATGTTATCATGTACTGTGTACAACAGTATATATGTGGTTATGTTTTTTCTTTTTTGTTATGAGTGTTGTTTTTAAAGCTTTTGTCTCAGAACTTTACTGTTACGACAGACCAATTTCGGTCAGAGGATAAAAAACATCTCTTTCCTTTTTTTCTATTTCTCTACTTTTAAGAGACGAGCAAATTCATGGTGACCATTGAAATTATTTTTAGCAGATTTGTCAGTATTTATATTGTACACTCAGTAATTATTTCAAATACTGAATCTCTTCAAGTAGAGGTCTCTGCAGTACATAGGGGGAGTTTCTTGTTCTGTGGGCTGAGTTTGTCTAAATCATGATTAGTTGAATTGACTTGTGTTGTGAGGCAAGTTAACAGATGAAGTAGCCTAACGTAATAGTAAAATTATTGTGAACATGTAAAGGTAATTTATTGATATAGCTATAGTTTAAAACAGAACGTAATGTCTCAAATAAAAACTATGGCAAAGATGTAAACATAAATTATTGACTGCAAATTTGGTGCAACTAACTTCCTGTCTGGATTTATGACTAAAACAAATATTCATATTAAAAATAGGGATCTATCTTTTTCCAGGCGGATTATTTCTGTTTTGACTGAGCCAAATTGTTGTGCGTCCCTCCAAATATACGGTGTTCAAATTTTTTGTGGTTACCATTTTCTGTCTCGACTTATGACTAAGATTAATATATATATTTTTTCAAATATAGTTACTTTCTATCCGTTACAACAGAGCTAGACATCCCCCCAGCTGCCCCAGGCTTTTACAAACCCCACCTAAAATAGTCAATCTGACCAATCACTTCTCTAACAAACTACAGACCAATCCTGTTTTGGACAAAGTCCTCCCACAAAACAAGACACTCCCACTTAGTGACTGCAGACCCCCTTCTCAGTCTGAGTCTTTAACATCAATCTTCAACAAATCCAACTTTATTTACTTACAGCAGTCGCTGAAGTCTCTAAAACAACCTCAGACTGTTTCTAGATGGTAAACTGATGACCACATTTCTTCTTTTCTTGTAACTTAGACATGTTCACATTTCAAGAATAACATGCAGGCAGTGTGTGATGAGCACTGAGTCTGGGAGTGTGCTGGATCCACAGTCAGGTTCTGGCTTATATCTATTCCCTACAAATGATGACGTCCCTGCAGCGAGCGGCGTTACTAAGGTGACTGACACAAACACAGGCAAACACGGATCGACTGATTAAAAAGTTCCTGTTGTCTTCAGAAGTTGTTTTCAGAAGAACCTTGTTTCTGGCTCTCCTGATGTAAAGCCTCTTTTACAGACATGTTCAGTTTTTTTAAGAGTGACATAAAATATAGAATTTTTCACAAATCTAACAGTTCAAGCTTTCTGAAATACACAAAATAACATTTTTTACACTTATGCATCTGTTGATTATGTATCTGTACAACAGTTATTGTCTGGCAACTCTTTAAAAGGAACAAGCTTCTGCCTAGCAGCTTGTCATTTTTGTTACCTCTTATATCTTTTATTTACTAATTAGATTTGGGAGTCACTGGGCAGTCCTATTTTTGGTTTTGGTTCCAAGCTTAGTTGAGGTATTTTAGGTTTAGGGGAGCAGCCTACAGTCAGTTGAATTGCTGGTTCAAACAATCTCTTATGTTTGTTTTGGAGTGGGCTCCCAACTCCCTGTGGTTTTTGATTTTATTTAAATGAAACTTTGTTAAAACATTGCCAGTGTCTGGACTCTATACACTTTGTAGCCATGTTTTGGTACACAGACCATAACAGTTTCATGTATGTCCTTTTTTTATATACTTACAGACACAGCTTCTTATTATTAAGCCTGTCACAAAAACAAATTTTGCTGTATAATAAAATTGCCTCAGAAATTTTTTCACTAGATATTGTTTGGAGACCATTTTAAACTAATATAATGAAAACCAAAGACACTCCTCTAGCTAAAAGCCTGTAGCGCTTATGCTGAAAAGATTACGAGTCCATGCGCCTGGCAAATACCTGAAGTGAGAGTTCACTCCTCCCTACACCACAGAGGTAAAGGAAAATTATCAACTTCCCTTTTTATTGAACTCATTTCAATTTATCGTGCGATTAATATTTATTGCTTTTCGTGACAAACCTAATTATTACGTCTGGGAGGAGTGCATGTCTGGTTTATCCAAATGGTTTTCTTGCTAACTCATAAAGTTTATAATTAAAGAATGTTGTGGTTATGTCTAGTGTGTAACCTCAGTGTAATGTTTGATTCAAGCAAACCTCTTGCTGCCCTTTAAAGTGTTAAAGGGTTCAATTTACAGTTCTGCTCGGTGAAATTTATGACATTCATCTAGACTTTGTTATTCTCTGCCAGTTTCCTTTTAACCAGCAACATAATGTTTTATGATTGCTGTAATTCATTTTATGCATCCGGTCTCTCTTGTAAATGAGACTACTTGTCTCAATGAGATCAACTGTCTACATAAAAGAAAATAAATAATGAAACCTACAATGCTCCTCAGCTGGGCCCCTCCGCTGCTGAACGTGACGGCCAGCATGGACGCGCACTCCTCTGCATAGAAGGGCATTCGTCCTTTCTCATCGACCGCTCCTGCAAGCACACACATTCAAACACGGTGACTCACTCGTGAAGATCACAGACAGGTCAGGTAACCCAACAGCTGCAACTCAGTGTCTCACCAATCGTGATGGTGTAGATGGAGTTGGCGTAACCGTCATAGTTGCAGTTGTCTTTGTATTGACCTCCGTTCCCACTGGCGACCACAAAAATGCTGCCGAAGCCTCGTCTGCCTGCGATCACCCCGTGCTGCAGTGCTGCCTGCAGAGAAAACATAACAATAAGGCTGAATATCAAATATAAACACAGATGAGGAGGAAAAGGAGAAACTTTTTAAGTGAAATCAGAGCACAATTGACTATTTTAGTTGTGCTTATGTAAGTTATATATTGCGCTCTACCGTCCTCTGCAGGACAAAAAGTGTGCTGAAAATGTGACCCACCTTGCCAAGGGGATGAGGTCCATCCACAGTGTGTCCATCATCATCTGGACCCCAACTATAAGATCACAATCCCAGAAACTCTTGATCATAACAATATTAAAACACAATGCACAAGAAACAGAAGTAAACTTGTTTTTGGTGATGTATTGTCATAAATGTCTGACTCGAAAAAAATACTAAATCAGGTATGGTCTGTTTTGATACCTGCAGCTGTAGATATCATTGACTTGATAATGTTTGTTGAAGGCTATGGCCTCTAAGCTGTCTGTCAGAGGGCCGTCCAGGACTCTGATACCTGAGCAGAAAGCAAAATACATTTTCACCAAGTCAGAGAGGTCCACTTAATAAAACCTTCTGATAGATCCAATTATTTATATACACTGCACACAAACAATTCAGTAGCAATTATGATAAAAACACAAACTCAATCAATATAAATTATAAACCAAATTACAAAAGAATTAGTAAATAACTTGATTCCTGTTTTCTACCTTTTAGTCAAATAAAATTATCTTTCAAAATAAAATTAAAAAACCGAAAATATGATTTTCACTTGCTGAAAAACAACGAGATCTTCATAAACTACAATCACAAAGACTTTGCAGTCAAGTGATCTAGAGCTGGAGTTTGTTTACTATCCAGGGGCCTCATGCATAAAGGATTGCTCAGCTTTCGCAAAAGTTGGCGTACGGACAAATTTAGGGAAGTGCGCCGCACCAAAATATTCAGATGTATAAAACCGTGTGCACGCATGTTTCTGCACAGCTTTCCTTTATACATCCCAATGAACGTGGAACTGAGCGCACCTGAGACACCTCCCCTGACACGCCTCCATTTAAATATGTAAAATAGATGTAAATGTGTCCAGAGTGTGAGATTCTCCGCATTGTCCTCTCTGTGGGATCAGAAATGATTTTTAGATACAAGAAAAATATATATTAAATGGAGAATGAGTTTGCCGCATGCAAAGGTGTGTGGGTGTTGGTGTGTACGTGCGTGTGTGAAGCTGCTTTCTTCAGCGGCGCATGAGGCTGAGAGACATTTCCACCTTTACACATCTAATAAATGACTGTAAACTGTATGAATTTGGTAGAACTTAGAAAAATATTTATTAAATAGTAGAAGTGAAGAAACGAGTAACAACGTTTCTGCCGCGGTGTGATTCATATTTTAGAATCATGAAGTCTCTCATTCAGCCGCATGGCTCGGCTCAGAATTACAGTAAAACCGATGGTATCACACAGAACAAATTACTAACTAACTAACTAACTAAATGCTGTCCTCAATTCTTCTTGTGGTGATATCACCCTACAGAACAGCTGACATTGTTCCATAAATTACGCACAACTTTACGCAGAAACAAATCTATTGTCTGTGCCTTGTGGAGCTGAGGAATCATCACAGGTGAGCTGTTCTGAATTAATCTGCTGAGTTGACAACGTTTTTTTTTTCTCAGTGAAAATTAAAAAAGTTTCTTAGACAATTCACACATTTTATTCTTCTCAGCTGTGTGTGCGCTCCGCAGGCATGCGTGTTTCCAACTACGTGACAACAATACAAAAACTTTACAGTTTACAGACTGGACCGAGGTTCTTTTGATCATTTTTAGTCTGAAGTTAAATGATTTTCAGTCCTGGGGTTCAGTTTCATGATGGTTCGAGTTTAAACAATAAAAACTCAAACTAAAAAACAAATCTGACACCGTGTTCAGACGCTCCTTACATCCAGAAAACAGAACAGAGTCATATTTCTGTGGATTCAGGTCAGATTCATGACTTTGTGGGTTAAAACTGTCGACTGAAAAACTTTGCGTGGCTGCCGCACATTCTCACGGCAGGTGAAAAGTGTGCGTATATTTACGCACACTTTTCACACAACGTTGGTTTTAATGCATCCCAACGTGGGCGTAGAACCTGGCGCACGCAACTTTTTGATGCGTACGCACCGTTTATACATGGGGGCCCAGGGGTCAGATTTATAAAGGATTGCGTGGAAACCATACTAAAAATGAACGTACGGCCAACAGACAAAAATGGCGTACGCCAAACAAAATTCAGATTTATAAAACTGCGTACGCATGTTCCACCGCATTTTCCCTTTATAGATCACAGCTGTGCCTCATAATTTGCGCACAAGGTCCCACCTCAGGTTCTACCCTCTACACGCCCACACTCAACCATAAACAGTCAATATAAAGTACCTCATGAATGTTAAGATGTATTTAAATCAGTCAGCTGATCAATGCCAAAAAAGTGATTGGCCGATTCAGACACGCGCTCCGTCATGAATCTGGAGGATGACAGGTGCTGAAAGCTGCTCACGTGAACAGATTGTAATTTACACAGCTTTTCACTCATTTTGCAGGTTTACAGACGTTTAGAGTAATCTGATTTAGTTCTAAAACTCAGCTTCAAATTAATTTTCTCTCAGACGATAAAAACAATAAATAAAATAAAACAAGTCAGATAAAGTTAAGTTCACCCCCCACCCACACACACACACGCACGCACACGTCTCCAAGTATGCAAGTTTCTGGGCTCATATTGTGCGTACACAAGATTTATAAATCTGACCCCAGGTGACTATCATGGAAAAAAATCTAATTTTATTATCATGGTTTGCTGGTGGACAGTTAGTGAACAGATCTGTCGAACAAAGTCATTCTTTTATTTATTTTCTGTGCTCTCAGTTCAGGTTTTACTGAGTCAATTGCTCAGATGATTTGTGTTAAAATTGTGTAGTACAGTTTAATTTGCAGATTTTAATATGTCTTTGTCTGCAAACAAGGCAGACAGGTCTTCAGCTCTCCACGGAGAGAATAAACACATAAAAGTCCATCCAGCCAGGAAAATAACTATTTTCCCTGCCAGCTTTTCTCCTTCACCCCCAATTTACACTACATGCATTTCTGCTCTGCTCTGCTCTGACCTCCACAGCAAATACACAACCATTCTAAACCAACGGGCCTCATGAAAGAACCGTTCCTACGAACAGATCTGTTCTTAAGTTGTGCGTACGAGTGATTTAGGAGAATTTGTGGCATTCGCCAATTTTCTCGTATTCTAAGTTTTTTCAGAAACAAACAAAATTCAGGAGAGGTCCAGACCTGTCGTATATTTTATGAGCAGTCAGTCTGCTGTTATCCAGACGGGTTTTTCTCATTAATAACTTTATATTTCATTAGTTTGAAAATATTTTGAGTTGAAAATTAACCACACTCCATAATTATGTTGACAATAGGCTATTCTGTTTGAACTGGAATTATAATTTTAAATGTAATAATGTAGACTAATGACTTAAATTTGTTAAATTAAATTAAATTGGCTATTAATGCTGTTGTATAGCACTACAATATATGAAGTTAAATGAAGTTCTGAGACATTTTAAAATGTTTTTTTTTTTTTCAGAAACCCATCTGACACCACCTGCGACGGTGCGCGACTGCTCTTCTTCGGAATAAATAAAAACTATGTAACACAGTTGTTTACACTTAAATTAAAAATATTTGACCAAAGGAAAACCGGAGCAGGACTACAGAGAGAGAGATGAATATAATTTAGATTTTTATTTCTGTGTCTGTATGCGACACACAGGAGACCCGACATTAACAGCAGTCATTTCATTCCTCGGCTTTAGCAGGTCTGATGCTGCTAAAAATGACAGATTTTCTTTTCTGGATCTCTGACAGCAGGACTTCAATCTCCGAACTCGTAAAGTTATTCTTTTTTACTTTGTGATGTAATTTATGAATGAACACTTCCTGGTATGTGGGGCAGGAAACACAGCCTAATATGGTGTTTTTGGGATGGTAATTATGCTAATCACCTCTCCTTGTGCGCGAGCACCTGATACACATTCATCAGTTTACGCAGCTCATTTACACACTTTTCCTGAAGATAGAAGAGTTTGTTGAATCTGACGTGGCAGAAACTTAGGATAAGAATACGAACATGTTCTTGCATGAGGCCCAATGAAAGTATTTACACTGGCTCCGCACGACGGCGGTGAGCGGACGGCAATGCGCTAAAATAAGAACAGATCCTATTTTTGCCGGACACTGGAGCTGCTCCACAGTCAATCTACAAAGATCATGTCACACCAACAGGAAAAGGAATGAACACAACATCCATATTTTCAAAATAAGACGCCATAAGGTGGAATAACTGTGTTGAAATCCTAGCTTTATTAATCAATATATAGATACATTTCTACACAAATGCTGTCAGAATGTATCGTTCTGTTTGGGAAGCAGACGGCAACGTGTAGCATGAAGCAGATGTGTACACACACGATACACGTGGATTTTATTTTGAAATCAGAAACTTCAAAAAGACGACAGCGATTCAGTTTCAACCACAGATATCAAAAGCTTTTATATCTATGTTTTCAGCTGTGTTTGGAGTTCGTCTTTCACAGAATTCATTATATTTTGCTCTGACTTCCACATTTATCACTGGATTCATCTCGTGATCTCCTTCCTGCACACCCTCCCTCCTCTGTGTGTCGCAGCTGAGCGGAGCAGACGCTGTATAAATTGGGTTGCAAATGAACAGCTGCGAACTGCGCAAAGCACCACAGCAGAGCAGAGCAGAGCAGAGCAGAGTCGCATGTAGTGTCTGACATTTGAGGACCTCTAAACCAGGCGTTTTCTGACTCTAAAACCTTGTGGTTTCGAGAACAACGCTACATTTATTCATGTACCTGCCACCTTGCTGCCATAGGCCACGCCCACAGCACAGAAGCTGTTGTTGGGAACGGCTGCAATCTCTCCAGCGCACCGAGTCCCGTGGTGGTTGTCACTGTGGATGTCTGGATGAGGCATTGGGTCCGGATCATTGGAGTTAAGATCGTAGCTGCCCTCGGGACTCTAAGAGGGACACAGAACCAGCTGTATGAGTGTGGGGTTCACACCTTCCTAGCTTTAGTTTGAACGGAGACAAAACCAGTTTAACGGGAAATGTGCTGTTGGTTGCAAAAACAAAATCAAGTCTGATGTTACAACTTCCAGGTTAGTTTGTGAGAATGTAGATGAAGTAGTTTTATAGCACTAAACCTTAACATTAAAAAGCAGTTAAAGATTTGACAAAAGCACATCACAGTCTCAAACACGAGATTTCTCTCTTCTATAACTCAGAGCTAAACTGCTCTATAAGCAACACTTATGTTGTAACAGTTTTATCTTACATAGTTGAGCTTAATGTCCTGGTGGGTGTGCTCCACGCCGTCATCTACAACCACCACTGTGACTCCCTGACCAGTGATGTTTTGTTCCCACACTCCTGTCACATTGATGTCCATGCCCACGTTGAGTTGATTGTGCTGTAAAATCAGAAACAAGAGAACAGTTTATAATATAGAGAGATGATCAAAGTAAACTTAAACCACAGACTAAAACTGTGGAGAGCACAATGAAGCAAAGGTCTAAGCATGTGTTAAAGGGGACCTATTATGCAAAATTCACTTTTTAAAGTTTTTTACTCAATTTTGGGTATGTACTTCTTAAAAAAACTGTCCTAGGACCAAAAAATGCACCCAGGGGCATATTTACTGTAAGTAAATGTATTTTAATGTATTTTAATGACAAGTTTTATACTTCTGTCATTTTGTGATGTCACAAGCCGTACGACAACCCACCGGAACCTGCGTTCAGCCCCTCACCCAGGTGAAGCCCCACCTCCTCAGTATAAAAAGCTGTCACGGTTGTTGTTGTGTAATGCGCAGCTCAGTTTGCAACAAGCCTCCAATAGGGCAACAGGTAGAGTGTTGGACCAGAGAGCAGGAGACCAGGGTTTGAGACCGGCACAGATGCAATTTAATTATTTATTTATTTTTGTTCATTATGAACACGTTTTCTCATGTAGCTCTATTGTTTAGCTTATTGTTAAAGCCTATTTGTTCGAGTTTCTGAGGTTTTTTGACTGCTGCTGCTGCTGCCTGCTCTGGTAACAGCATGCAGAGTGAGCGCAGAGTATTAGATAAGTATTAGATAAATTTCACTAAGTGTGTTCAATACTTTTCCCCCGTGCCATTCCACATTATTACAAATAACTTCATTTCTGGACATTTAATTTGATTTCTTTGCATGTATGGATCACTTGGGTTGTTACCAACATCTGGTGAAAATTTCATGTCATTAGCACCTCTAGTAATATATTTACTGAGAAAAATGTTGACGTGTTCAATACTTATTTTACCCGCTGTATACACAATCCCAGAACTAGAACTCACCAAGTGCCACTGCTTCGGGTAGTTTGGGTCGTTGAAGCTCATTGATCTCTTAGAGCGACTGAGCTGTCTCTCCTTGGAGTACCACAGGACATGAGGATGGGCTGCTAGAACGTCAGCCGGTTGGACACTTCTTTTCCAGATTCCTCCCAAAGAATCAGATCCAGGTTTTATTGAGCACAGCAGGTAGTGGCCTTCCAGCTCTCCGATCTGGCCCTGGTTCTGCAGACCAGCCTGCTGCGCCACCTGAGCTCGAGAAGATGATCATGAATGAACAATGGACAGAATAGAATAGAATAGAATAGAATAGAATAGAATAGAATAGAATAGAATAGAATAGAATTCAACTTTGTCATTGCACATGTTACAAGAACAAAGCAACGAAACGCAGTTTGCATCCATCCAGAAGTGCTTTGCAAGAAATATTAATATGTACAGTATATTACAGTATTTATATTACAGTATATTACAAATGCACAGTAAGTGGTTTTAATATGTTATAGCTGTAAGTATATACGGTTATGAATGTACAAGATATGAACTTACAGACTATGAATTTACACAAAAATATGAATTTCCATGCTATGATCAGTTTTAAAATATGATGGCGTATAAATTGACTATGTACTCATTAACACGAGTAGATTGTTTATACAGTGGTGAGCAAAGCAGTGCAGGTAAGTGGTGTTAGGTCCATGTGTTATGGGTATTGTGCTGCTGATGTCAGGAGGCAGAGTTCAGGAGTGTAACAGCTGTAGGAAAGAAACCTTTCCTGCACCTGGAGGTCTTGGGATCTTAGATCCTTAGAATATGGACTATACCTATAATTGTGGTCCAGTTAAGACTTTAAAATATTAAAAGAATGTTAGACAGAACTTTTATTTGAAGTTTGAAAGCCAAATTCAAGTTCGTTCTGTAGGGATGTTGACCTTTCGTCAGCAGCTGCTGCCATTTTCTTCCCAAACTGCTGTGACCAGATTTTGCAAGGCTGCTCGGTGCATTTGCTTGTAATTTCCTCCTGCTTCGTTATTTCTATGAATTTCAACAAATCGGGCTGCAGTCAGGTAGTTAGCTACAGCCTCGTCTTTGAGTTTTTAATTTTTGTTGAGGCGTTTTGAAGAGACAATTTTTTGAAAAGAGGATCAAATTAAATCACCCGAGTTTTTCTAGTGACCCCTTAAAGAGATAATCTGCCATGAAGAACATTATTTTATCTGCCCTTCTTCCAAATTTGATAATGATTTGAAACATCGAAGTATGTTTTTTTTATCCAGAACAGCGCTTGTTGCAAAGTGTTTTGATGCTCGTCTTCGTCACGACACATTTAAGACGCTGTCATTGGTTGAGGAGCTTTGTTTACAAAACAGATGTCCACATGGTTTTTAAATTGTTTTAATTTCCTT